GGCAGGCAGCACAGCGGGCTCCCCGGCAGCCAGCCCCATCCCCGTCGGGGCCTCCAGCTCAGCCTTGGGGCCAGCCAGGGGGCCCCTGAGGACATCCCCGCCTGCCCCATCCATGCTCAGCACCCGGGCGTGCGTTTTGGCGCTGGCGGTACTGGGAGTCCTCTGGGTCCCATAGGGCCGCTTGGGGGGGACAGCAGCCCCGTCCTCAGTCCCGTGGGGGGCCCGTCGCTTCCGGGGCCCACCTGCCGCCCCCCGGGAGCTCTCGGGGGAGTAACAGGAGGTGGACGAGGAGCTGTCGCTGCTGTAGCGGTGCTGAGAGCGGAGACTGGAGGCCGGGCTCAGCTCACTGCCCTCACTGGTGTCCTCGTCCTCAAAGAAGCCCCCACCCTCAAGCAGGGGTCGGTGAGGGGCGCGGCCAGGTGGGGAGTGTCTCCGCACGGGCGGCCGCCGTTTGCTGGGCCGCAGCAGGGCCAAGTCCTTGGGCCGCACGACCAGAAGTGGCTCAGCCGGGCCCGGTGGCGTCCCTGCTCCAATGACCGTGTCAAAGGAGCGCAGAGTGTCATCTGAGGGGACGCCGGCATCGGGAGAGGCCGGCAGTTCAGCCTCAGAGGGTGGGTCTGTGTCGCTGCCCTCAGGGGCCGGCCCACCTGGGGGACTGTCCAGGTGGGTGGAGTTGGTCTTCTCGCTCTTAAAGCTGCTCAGTGTCTCCCTGTCGGTGCCGCTGAAGCAGGAATCTGAAGAGCCTGCTTTCTGGGGCGTGGGCTCGCCTGAGCCCCGCCGGTCCAGGGGCTGGTAGCCACCCGCACCCCAGCGTTGTTCACGCCGACTGCTGGTCCTCACCAAGGTCCGGTCAGGTCGGGTCAGGGTCAGGAAGCTCTTGCTTAGCTCCTGGCTGAGACTCCCCTTCAGTAAGGGGCTCATGGGCGTGTCAGCCACACTGTTTCCGCTCCAGGGGGCTCCGTCGCCAGCCAGGGCAGAATGCTCCGAAGAGTCAGTGCTGGGGAGGGAAGGGTCCGGAGCAGCCCCCGGGGGTGTCTGGGGAAGGTCTCCAACTGGCCAAAGAAACAAGGCACAGAGCGTGAGATGAGGGGAGCCTGCAACAGGCACTGGGGGCTAAGGGGGTCCCTGAGGCTCAGCCTGGAGGCTGAGAAGGCCCCATCCAAGGATACACAGAGAGCCCCGGGATGGCTAGGTTGGAGGAGACTGAAATAAGACAGCCGCTTTCCCCGAGCCCTGGCCATCACACCCACTCACTCAGTTTCTCCTGCGAGCTAAGCTTCAGCATCTCCCGGTCGGCTGACGTCACAATCACGTTGTTGCTGCCCTGCTCCCGTACCAGCTCCTTGATGTCTGCACCCGAGGCCCAGACACGTCAGCAAGATCCCAGGGCAGAGGCATGCCATGCCCTCCCACACCCCTACGCCCCAGTCCTGAGCAGCAGCCACCTACCTCTGAGGGGCCCAGAGTCCTCCATCCGCGGCAGCAGCTCCTGAGTGGACAGAGGGAGGCGTGAGGGTACCAAGAGAATAAGAAGCAGGCTCGAGACGTACCCGTGGTGTGGAGGAAGAGGGTGGAGGGCCGAGGGCCAGCACCACTCACCGAGACCTGGTTGAAGCCAAACACGGAATGCTGGGAGCTGCAGCGTACCGGGGGTGTGGAACTCACTTTCCGAAACACCGTCATCTCCACTCCTGGGTCCCTGCAGACAGAGGAGAGCAGCAGCTTTGACCTCCCCCCGTTTTTATCTGTGACTCTCCCCACTGCCCTCATAGCTCCCACACTCTCAAGAGAACCTTTACAATCCTAGGGTCAACCTGCTCTAACTCAAAAACGCGAGCTCTGGTGGCATAGTTCCCGAGGCATCTGACTGCTAGCCAGAAGGCTGGCAGGTCAAAGCCACCGGCCACCCCTCGGAAGGAAGGCTGGGCAATCTACTTCAGTAGTGATGCTGCCTTGGAAACCCAAGAAGGAGTCGCTATGAGTTGGATCCGACTGACGGCAGTGTATTTGGTTTGGTTTAAGTCCTCAATGGAGCCAGTCTTCCTGAAGCCCCTCTACCATCCTCCAGTGCTCAGGGCCAGGGCCTAGTCCAGCCCATACCCCACCCACCTGGGTAGATTGCCTTCCCCCTGGGCAAGCTCTTCCTCTGGCTCTCCCATGGGAGAGTTGCGTTTCTCCACAATCTCGCCCTGGTCAAACATGGCATGTAGCCGGTAGTTCACGGTCTTGATGGTTGCAAAGATGACGGCTACCACAAGGCAGTATACTCCAGCCACCAACAGGCTGGGGGGCAGGACCTGGAAGTAGGCAGCGAGTCAGGACCCTTCCTGAGCAGACTCTGACCCCACGGTTACACCAACCAGCACGAGCATGGCTCAATCCGCAAGTCTACAGCAAGACTTCAACACCCTCCGCGACTATTACAGAAACCCCGTCAAAGAACTCTGTCCCCTATTCGACTGGAAAGAAACAAACTAAACAAGGTACTCAAGGTCACCCAGCCCGGGAGAGGAAGAATTTGGCCCCACTGCCACACACCCCCAGAGTCTGCAGCGATTCCTCTCCCCATATCCCAGAGCCCCAAGCCCACCCCGAAAGTTTACCATACTGCCCTCCCTTCCCCAACGGGAGCTTCAGGCAGCCGCGGTGTCTCACCATGTACAGCAGGAAGGGGAAGGTGAGTAGAAAAATCCAGACATAAAGGTGAAAACAGTTGGAGAAGGTACTCTGGTGCGGGTCGAAGAACCAACCGCCGGTGAGCGAGGCCCACACCCCCTGGCGCAGGATCTGTAACACCTGCGACCCCATGGCCCCGCCGCTGCTGCGCGCGCCCCCCTCCCGGGACCCTCATGGGGGCGGCCCCCGGCCCATGCCCCGCCTGGCGCGCGAGGGCCCCGGGGCCCGGCCCCGCGCTCACGCCATGGCCTCCCCCGGCGGGGGAAAGTGGTCAGCGGAGCCCGGGTGCGGACAGGGGGCGGGGCCCGCCGGGCAGTCAGCGGCGCAAGGCCTGGGCGCGGGGGTGGGGCCACATCGGAGGCGGGTCCCGGCCCCTATCCCCGGCCCAGAACTGTTCTGAGGAGCCGGGCTGGCAGGCAGACAGAGGGCAAGGGCCGGGCACTCGCCGGCGGCATCCAGAGGTGGGCGTGGGGTGGGTGCTCCCAGGTCGCAGGCGATGGCTCCTTCGGCTCCGGCCCAGGGAAAGCCCCGGGACCCTGAGGTCCACTTCCGGGGTCACAGGTCACTCGCTTCGGGCTCCGCGCTCGCCCAGTTGCTACCGGTGCCGGCCCAAGGGGAGGCCGGAAGAAGGAGCGAGAGCCGCCAGCCTGCAGTGGCGCATGCGTCCGACGGCCCCAGTTGGGACCCGGAAAAGGAAAGCCTGACAGTACGAATGCGCAAGCGCAGGAAAGTGGTCGAAGGAGGAGAAGCGGAGAGTGCCTTTTGGGCGGAGTCTGAGTCTGAGGAACCCGACCATCCCCAACCTGGAAGACGTTGAGCGCATGCGCACACCCGGGCATTTCCAACCCTGCCGAGTCCGCTGGGCGGCACCAAAGGAATTGTCGCACAGCCATTGGGTAAGTGTGGAGTAATTGGCGCAAAGCTTTTCCAATGAGTTCCAGGGACGGGTAAAACGGTACAGGCGTGGCCTCCCTACGCCCCCAACAACATTTCTGCACTGCCGTAGCGCGCCCTTCTCGGCCCGCCCCTTTTACTGCCTGGCCTCCAATGTCAAGGTCTCTCAGGCCTAGCGCTGCCTCCACTTCCGAATCAGAGTTCAGACATAGAGTGTAGAGAGCGATCCTCCCGCACAGGCAGGAGTAGTTGAAACAGGATCGCGTCGTCTTTCTTAAAGTGACAGGCTCACGGCAATTGGGGTCAACCCTAGCCAGCCGGTAGTGAGGGGCCGTCTCGGCTATTCTGAATCCAATGACTGGGCAGGATTCGGAACAACAGTATCTGTCTTCTGCCCGCTACGGAAGGATATGGGAAATGGATTGCCTCCCAGGTGAGGGGGAAGACGGGAGTCTTAGACAACACCTTCCAAGAGCTAAGGTGCAGCCAGTTTCGACTCGCTTGCACCCAGCCCCCCAAGTTCCCCGGCCAGGCCGAGCTAAGCCGAGCTTCTTGTCCTCATTTCTAAGATGAAGAGACGGAGGCTCAGAGAGGATGAGTCACACAGTGCTGCAACCTGGTAGCCAAGACCAGATTCAGGTTCGCCCCACTCCCAAATCTGGTTGGTCGTCGCCTTTTGCGGATGCACACGGCCCACTCCAGGCAGCGGAGCGGCCAGCCAGGGGCTCTTCTCAGATCCCAAAACCTGCTGCAATGGGAGTCCGGGGCCGCCCTTCCCCTCCCTCTGCTCTCTCCTCGCCCGCCTACTCCGGCACTTCCCCGACCCCGCCGCCCGGAGCCTCCGGGAGGGGAGCGGTGCTGCCGCCCGCGTCATCTGATGCTGTTTCCTGCAGGAGAGAGAAGAGCGGAAAAAAAGTGAAACTCCACCCTCCACCTCTGCCTCCCGCCCCCGGGGCCAAAGTACAAAGGGAGGAGGAAGAAGGGAACGGGGTCGGAGCCGAAGGGCCGAGGGATCCGGGCCGGGAACAGGCAACCTCGGCCCAGTTGGGGACGCTCCCGCCACTGCTGCGCAGAAGGACTCAGGCGGAGGCCAGGCGCTGCCCCTCGCGCGCCCCATCTAATCCTTGGCGCGCACCGAAGTCAGGCTCCCAGGACTGCTTCAGGCGAGAGCCGGCCATGGTGAGGCGCCGGCGGCCCCGGGGCCCCATCCCTCGGGCCTGACTGCACTGCCGAGGGTCGCCCCCACCAGAAGCCCGAGATGCGGGGGGCCGGGAGGCGACACTCCTGGCTCCCCAGAGAGGCGTGGGTCTGGGGCTAAGGGCCAAGGCTCGGATGCCCAGGTTCCGGCACTAGGGCTGTGGCAGGCAGCGGGGTGGGGGTCAGGGGCACCCAGGGGAGGTACCCCCACGCCCGGACACCGACTCCCAGCCATGGAACCCTTGAAGAACCTCTTCCTCAAGAGTCCGCTGGGGTCATGGAACAGCGGTGGCAGTGGGGGTGGCGGTGGGGGCCGGCAGGAGGGGTCTCCGAAGGCCGCGGCTTATGCCAACCCCGTGTGGACGGCCCTGTTTGACTATGAGCCCAATGGGCAGGACGAGCTGGCCTTGCGGAAGGGCGACCGAGTGGAGGTGCTGTCCCGTGATGCAGCCATCTCGGGGGATGAGGGCTGGTGGGCGGGCCAGGTGGGCGGCCAGGTGGGCATCTTTCCGTCCAACTATGTGTCAAGGGGCGGCAGCACACCGCCCTGCGAGGTGGCCAGCTTCCAGGAGCTGCGGCTGGAGGAGGTGATTGGCATCGGGGGCTTCGGCAAGGTGTACCGTGGCAGTTGGCGGGGCGAGCTGGTGGCCGTGAAGGCGGCTCGCCAGGACCCCGATGAAGACATCAGTGTGACGGCCGAGAGCGTGCGCCAGGAGGCCCGACTTTTCGCCATGCTGGCGCACCCCAACATCATCGCCCTCAAGGCCGTGTGCCTAGAGGAGCCCAACCTGTGTCTGGTTATGGAGTACGCGGCCGGGGGGCCCCTCAGCCGCGCCCTGGCTGGGCGGCGCGTGCCACCCCATGTGCTGGTCAACTGGGCAGTGCAGATCGCCCGTGGGATGCACTACCTGCACTGCGAGGCTTTGGTGCCCGTCATCCACCGAGACCTCAAGTCCAACAACAGTGAGTTTGGGGGGGGGGCGTGGCTGGAGGGTAGAGACACCCAGCTGAGCCCATCTAGGGGGAGGCAGTCTGCTGGAGGCAGGAGGGAGTCCCAGTAGCCCAGGGTACCCAAGGGCCGACACTGGCCCCCTCCGCCAAGCAAGGGCTCCAGGCACCCAACAGAATCAGTTACACCTTCCTGCCCCAGTCCCACGAATCCTTGACCCACCCACAGCTGCAGATTGGGCCACCTTCAGACCTTCCAGCTGAGCCATTAGCATCCTGTCCCAGCATGGCCACCACCTCAAGGGCATCCTTGGATGCTGGTGTCCTTGTCTCTTATAGTTCCTAGTTGTGATTTTGGTGCCCCAGTCTCCCCCTTGCTCAGGCCAGGTAGCTCCCCCAGAACAGAGGGCTCCAAGGGGAACGCTCCTATAGGGACTGGATGAGGCCCGGTAGGCTTCTGGCCCCACCCCTCCTTGGCTATAGGACCTCTAGCTACTTATTTTCACTCGGAGCCTCAGTTTCAGGCTCTGTGAAATGGGGTTAATGATACCTCCCAGAAAGACTACAAAGGCGTAATGGCTTAACGGACCAGGCAAGCCCTGGCCATACGCTGCCTGGCACACAGGGAGTCAGCCTGTGCCTGGACATCTGAGGGCTGGATCCTCAAGAGGGTCTAGCCTGGAACCAGTGCTTGAGACAGGGTGGCTGGGCTAAGGAGGATCCAGCAGTGAGGCTCCATCTCCAGCCATTGCAGGGCATTCGCACACCCCATTGTGGGCCCAAAACAAGTGAGGGGCAGGCACAAGAGGGCTTCCGGAAGGAGACAGCATTTAGAGGGGCACCCAGTAGGATGTCGAGGCGGGGCCTGACAAGAGCAAAGGCACAGAGGCAGGACCAATGCCAGCAAAGGGGATCCCCGGGGCTGGATGCTGCTGGGACCCCAGGCACAGGCAGAAGAACAGTATAACATGCAGGAGGGGGTCCGGGATGAGTGGAATCACTGGAGAGGTCCTGGAGGGGACGACACGGATGTCTTGAGCCTCCTGGCCAGGGCCGAACATGAACAAGGGACTTGGGGGAAGCAGAGCACCAGGACCCAGTGATATCCAGGACCTTGCCAGGGCTGGGTGCCAGCCTCCCCACCCACTCTGCTCGTCCCAGGCTGGAGGTCCCTGGTAGGGGACACTTCTCAGCCTGACCCCTGGGCCCCAGCCATCTAAGGACCCCCCTCCCTGCCCCAGCTTGAGGGGGATTCCCCGAAGGGCTGAGGGGGAGGGGGCTCCAGTCCTCTGTTTTTCCTCCGTTTTCTTTCTAGAAAAAAATGGAACAATAGCCCAGGCCCCTGCTCCCCACCCTCCCCACAGCTTCCTGCGTTTCCTGCTGCCCCTCAGCCAGCTTCCTGCCTCTGCTCCAGCCCCTGCTCCCTCCCTGGCCCAGCTGCCTGCAGGGGAGGAAAGAGCTGGGGGGTGCCAGAGAGGAAGAAGCCCTGGATTGCACCCCCACTCTCACCCCAGTGCCCTGCTTCCCTCCCAGAGACCGGGTGGTGGCGGAGGAGGGTAGGCGAGGCCCCCACAGCCTCCCCTGAGCCTGGCATCCCACCTTCCAGACCCAGTCCTAGGCCCAGGGTACCGTCTGCTGGATGGGGCGGGAGGAGTCCCTGGGCTGGGGGTGCCCGCCAGGAAACAATGGCGTGATTTTCCTGGACAATGGGGGCCTTGTGAGGAGGCCTGGCGGGGAGAGGAGGGCGAATTCTCCAGGCCCACGAGTCACAGGACTGACCAGCCAGCCCAGCCTGGGCCTAACCTCCTCCAATTTTCCCCCAGAGGACCCCCCCTCCTGGTTGGGGACCTGGCCCAGACCTCCCAAAAAGGAGAAGTAGGGTCCATGGGAAGGAACCGGAAGAGGTGTGAGCCGCCTAGGCCACTCCCAAGCCCCACAGAAAGCGGTCTGGGAGGGGGTGGGGGGCCAGGACCCTTTCAGAGGCCGGGGATCCAGCCTTGGTCTTCAGCCCTGTCCCCTCTGGGGGCCCTGACCTCCCCTGGGGTCAGACACCAGCACAGCACCTTTGGCACAAAATCAAGGCACAGTGGGCAGCCAGGCACCTTGGTGAAAAGGAGAATGCATGGGGTGAGGAGGCTTAGCAAGCATCAGGTATCATTGGGGAAAACAGCAGGAAGGCCTGAGACTTTTGGTGAGTGGCTGCTCCTTCGAGCCTCAGTTTCCTTCGTTGAAAAAGGAGGATGCTGGCCTCCCAGCTCTGAGATACCAGTGCAGAACATACCTGTCTGATCCGTGGGTACCACAAATGGTTAGAGACCAGACCGGAAGTGGCAAGGGTTGGTCTTCAAGAAGACATTTGGGCCCTGGCCCCACAGAAAGCAGGAGTCCCCCAGCCCCAGCACACAAGACATTTTCACCTGGTCCCACTCCATTCACCAGGCCCAGCTGTCACGGGGCCCCTTTGGAACGAACTTACAAGAAAACAAACCCGTGACCATCGAGTCTGTCCCAACTCCTAGGACAGAGTGGAACTACCCCGCAGGGTTCCCACAGCTGTCATCTTCACAGAAGTAGACTGCGACATCTCCCCCTGCGGAGTGGCTGGCAGGCTCTAACCACAGACATTTCAGTAGGCTGCAGAGCCCTCAACTGTTGTGCCCCAGGGCTCCTTTAGAATGAGAGGGAGCTGTTGTAGAGCCAGACGGTCCCTTCTGAGCCTTCCGCAGCCAGGCAGGAGCCCATGGTGCAGCCAGTAGAGGACAGAGGGAGTCCATGTGGGAGACGAATCTGGAGGGGTTAATCTGGAGGTCAACCCCGGCTATTAGGCTCCTGCTAGATGTCAGACACTGTGCTGAGATGGTTGTTAGGTGCCCTCTGGCTCATAGCTAAGATAACAAGCATTTTCTCACTATTCATGACAACCCTGTGAGATGGGTTTGTGGTCAACCCCGGCTATTAGGCTCCTGCCCAGATGTCAGACGCTGTGCTGAGATGGTTGTTGTTAGGTGGCCTCTGGCTCATAGCTAAGATAACAAGCATTATCTCACTATTCATGACAACCCTGTGAGATGGGTTTGTGGTCAACCTCAGTTTTATTAACTGGGACTCCGACTGCATGTGGCTCAGAGGAGGGGGTGGATTGCAGGGCCATTCTTTGAATTAGAAGCACTGGGGAGATTTCCCAGGCTGGGTGGGATGATGAAGGTGGTAACCAAGGCCTGTGAACATCAGGTGAGGATGCCAGTGAGGAAGGGGCAGCAGGCACCTGGGGCAGGCTGAGAGCCTGGGGCGGGGGAGGTTCAGGCAAGCTAGGCTTCAGGGAGCAAGGCCAAGGGCGGAGAGACTCTGAAGAAGGGTGCACACTAGCAACCACTAAAAGCCAAGACAGGGAGCCTGGCAGGAATAGGATGGCCACAGTGCCAGACGCCTCTATGAGGGCCAAGGGTGCCTTCTGCCAGGGAGCTGTGGCCTTAAGCCCCGAGGCCTCTGGTGGGCCCAGCCCTGTGCTCATTTTAACACCTCTGAAAAGTCTTCCCAGACTCACAGGCTATGTTAGGTTTCCTTCTCCTCGGTCCACCCCAGCACCCTGTGGGGCCCCCGTCATAGACTGACAGCCTTGGAAACCCTCTGGGGCAGTTCCACTCTGTCCTCTAGGGGCGCTGTGAGTCGACTCCACGGCAGGGGATGTTGTTTGGGCTTTACCCCTGTAAAGATTGACAGCCTTGGAGACCCTGTGGGGCTCCTCTACTCTGTCCTATCTCAAGATTTCAATAGTGATCAGTTTTTCTCTTCACAGCCAAATGCATCAGTAGATATCTAACCCCCAAAGAAACCAAGTAGAGTGGCTGCAACAGACAGATGTGGGCACCTGAGGGCTGGCTGGGCTTCCTTACTCACCCAGGGTTCCCTCCTGCTCCCCCACCAGTGAAGGGTGATTCACCTCCTGCCTCAGCAAAATGACAAGACACCCATGGTTTTTCTTGAAATTACTTGCAAATGATCAAAGCCATAAGAGCCAAGAAAGTGCCACATGATGAGTTCCTATTTAATGAAGTTGTGGTAGAAGTTATAACACTGGCTTTGGAGCCAATAGGCCTGGTTAGAATCTGTGCTTTACCTGCTATGACCTTGGCCAAGTCCTTCCTTGTTCAGTTTCCTCATCTTTAAAACTGACAGCCTTGGAAACTGTGGGGCGGTTCTACTCTGTCCTATAGGACTGCTGAGTCAGAATCCACTCGGTGGCAGTGGGTTTGGTTTTATAGACAATGACTGCAAAAAGCCTGGCCTCTAGGAGACTTGGGAAAGGTTATCCGGCAGCATCAGCATTGATTCCTACCCCACCCCCAGCTGTGAGCTGTCCAGGGGAGGTCTAGACTCCTCACTTCGGTGCCCCTAGTATCAGCCAGGATGTCTGTCAGCTCCTCCGGAGCCCCCACCCCCAGCCGGGAGTACCCACAGCCCTGCCCCTCCTCCTCCCAGTTCTGCTGCTGCAGCCCATTGAAGGCGACGACATGGAGCACAAGACGCTGAAGATCACCGACTTCGGCCTGGCCCGCGAGTGGCACAAAACCACGCAAATGAGCGCGGCGGGCACCTACGCCTGGATGGCTCCGGAAGTCATCAAGGCCTCCACCTTCTCCAAGGGCAGCGACGTCTGGAGGTGCGGCCTGGGCTGGGGCCAGACAGAGCCAGCTGTGGGCCTGCAGAGGGCAGAGGTGGCTGCCCAAAGCCTCCGATGGCCGGCGCCCACAGAGAGGGACCGGGACCGTTCCTGACTCCTGATTGCTTTGGGTGAAATGATGAGTGGGTGGAGACGGGGACCCAGACCTTCTGTCTCGCCCACAGCTTTGGGGTGCTGCTGTGGGAACTGCTGACTGGGGAGGTACCCTACCGTGGCATCGACTGCCTTGCCGTGGCCTATGGTGTGGCGGTTAACAAGCTCACGCTGCCCATCCCATCCACCTGTCCCGAGCCCTTCGCGCAGCTCATGGCTGGTAAGGGGGCGGGGCCCGCCGGGAGGGGAGGGCTCCCTAGCCCGAGACACACGCCCCAGACTCCATCTTATTCTGTCTTTCCCCCTTCCACGCCGTACCCGAGACTGCTGGGCGCAGGACCCCCACCGCAGGCCCGACTTCGCCTCCATCCTGCAGCAGCTGGCGGCGCTAGAAGCGCAGGTCCTGCGGGAAATGCCGCGGGACTCCTTCCATTCCATGCAGGAAGGCTGGAAGCGCGAGATCCAGGGCCTCTTTGACGAGCTGCGAGCCAAGGAAAAGGTGCGAGCGGTCTAGATTCTGGAGTTGGGTCCCCACGGGCAGAGACTGGGGGGACGAGGGGCACCGGGCTGACCCCACCGTCTCCACCGTCCCGGGCGCAGGAACTACTGAGCCGTGAGGAGGAGCTGACGCGCGCTGCGCGCGAACAGCGGTCACAGGCCGAGCAGCTGCGGCGGCGCGAGCACCTGCTGGCGCAGTGGGAGCTAGAGGTGTTCGAGCGAGAGCTGACGCTGCTGCTGCAGCAGGTAGACCGTGAGCGGCCGCACGTGCGCCGCCGCCGCGGCACCTTCAAGCGCAGCAAGCTCCGCGCGCGCGACGGCAGCGAGCGCATCAGCATGCCACTCGGTAAGGGGCGGGGCCCAAGCGCGCCGCCCCGCCATTGGCTGCGGCCGCCCAGGGGCGGAGCCGCGGAGCTAATTGGCTGTGTGGGCGGAGGGGTGGGCGGGGTCAGGCTTGGCCGCTGGTCGCTCTGCGATTGGCTTAGGGTGGTACCGGGTAGGCCCCTGCGCTGAAGGCTGGAAGGGGTGGGGCCTGGGTTTTTTCTCTCCGTGGGAGGGTTAGGGCGGGAACATTTGCGTGTTGGTCTGGGAGTGACTGCAGGAGGGAAGGGGCGGGGCTCGTGGCAGTTCTGGGAAGGCCGAGGGGCGTGGCGGCCCGGCCTAGGCATCTGCGTTCCTGCTGCGCTTCCACTGGAAGTGGGGTCCGCGGGGTGGGTCTCGGGGCAGCCGTGGGCTGCCCTAGTCACACGTGGCTGGGAGCTGGCTGAGGCCCCTCGGGTGGGGTCTGGTTCTCCACTACACACCTGCCCCTCGTTCCCCATTCTGCAGACTTCAAGCACCGCATAACCGTGCAGGCCTCGCCTGGCCTTGACCGCAGGAGAAATGTCTTCGAGGTCGGGGCTGGGGACTCGCCCACCTTCCCCCGGTTCCGGGCCATCCAGTGTAAGAACTCCGTGCCCTTCCCTTGTTCCTTAGCCCCGTCCTCCCGGTCCTCCGACTCCCTCTTCTCCGGCTGGACTGGTACCTCTGATCTCCGCAAGCAGCATTTTGGTCTTTGTTTTAATCAAACACTTTTATGGCACTGTGTGTCCCTCCTTTCCCTAAATGCTCTGCTAATATCAACTTTGTAATTCCTCACAATAACTGTAGAAAGTAGATATCGTTATTGTTATAGGTGGGAACAGTAACTTACGTAAGCGTCACGCAACTAATGAGGGGCGGAGCCAGGATTCCCACCCAGGCAGTAACTCCTCAGCAGCCCCTGTGGGCTGAAAGGTGGGGGAGGTAACCCTTCCCACTGCCGGCCCCAGGACCGAAGCCCACCTCCCTGGCTCAGTGCTGTTTGTTTGAAATCTCACCACCCAGCCTAGACGTGACGCCTGACCTGCTCCCCCTCCTCTAAATGGTTCCCCCAAACCTGGCTCTTGTGATGGGGAAGGGAAACCACTGGGGCTCCTGACCTCCAGTCCCACTCCATCAATTCCGCCCCCACACAGTGGAGCCTGTGGAGCCAGGCCAGGCTTGGGGCCGCCAGTCCCCCCGACGGCTGGAGGACTCAAGCAACGGAGAGCGGAGGGCATGCTGGGCGTGGGGCCCCAGTTCCCCCAAGCCTGGGGAAGCCCAGAATGGGAGGTAAGTGGCTGAGTACCCGCCCCCAGCACCACCCGCCTCCCCACAATGCTGAGAGTCAGCCCTCCTCCGTTCCTTCCCCCGCCCTACCAGGAGAAGGTCCCGGATGGACGAGGCCACGTGGTACATGGACTCGGATGACTCCTCCCCCTTAGGATCTCCCTCCACACCCCCAACACTCAACGGTGAGTGGCCTTGTCCTCTCCCAGCAGGATCTTCCTGAGCCCTTTCTGTGGGCACCTCGGGGAGACATCCTCCTCACTCCAGGGGCGAGAAAACTGAGGCAGGGCAGAGCCGAGCCAGGAGCCCAGGTTTGACCCCTGGACCCAGCTCCCAGGCCTGAGGGCCCAGGGTCTGGTCCCCCTGTTCGGGCCTGGCATCGCGGCCGCGCCTCTGCCCACGATGGGCTCTCCGAAGGAAGGCAAACAGAGAATAATCCCCCTGTTGGGCTCCCGGGAAGCTGGGCCTTGAGTGGGAAGAACAGAGCCCGTGCAGGGTGGAACCAGACACGCGGCTTCCACACTGTGCTGCCCAGAGCAGAGCCCCTTCTGGGGCCGTGCACGGGGACGGGGAGAAGACTGAGCAGGGATCCGGAGCCATTCCCACTCCATCCGGGCAGCTCTGGGCTCTTCTGTCATGACGACAACAGCTCTTTCCGTGGACCAGGCATTCTGTCCAAGCAGCAGCCTGTGACAGAGGTGTTATTAATGTCCCCATTTTAGAGATGGGGCAACCAAGGCTCTAAGAGGTTAAATAACTGACACAGGCCCCAGCTGAGAGTTCGAACCCAGAGAGGCTCTGGAGCCCATGCTCCTAGCAAGCCTCCTTGCAAGCTTTTGCTTAAAGAGGGGGTTTCTCACATTCAAGCTACTTGGGATGTCAGGGGGTGTGCACAGAACAGCCCACTTGTGTCAACAGTGGAGCTTAATTCAACACTGCTTGGCCTTGGCAGGGCCTAGAAAAGATGAGGGGCTCCCTCGTCTGTGGGTAACACTTTTGTCTGGCAACCCCAGAACCATGTTCAGAGCCCCAGCCCTATGTGTTGCACACAGCCAGAAGGTAGGACCCATCCAACACAGCTGCTCTCAGACCAGAAGCCTGGTCAGCAACCATTTATACTCTCCACCTGCCTGCACCCCAGCCCTTCACCTTAACCATGACCCTGGGCTACTATGTTCCACCGTTAATCTCAGAGGTAGTAATCACAAGTGGTAGCACTTAGCGGTCACTCTCTATGTATCAGGCAATGACGTACGGTGAGTATTGTTCCTAGCTCCGTTTCACAGAGGAGGGATCTGAGGCACAGAGAGGTTGAGTGTTTTGATGTAAGACACAAAGCAGAGCAGAGATGTGAGTCTAGATCTGTCTGACTCTGGAAGCAGGGCCCTGGACTCCTGTCTGCGGCACCATTTTCCGCTCTGGCAGTGGCCTTGCCCCAAGCTGGGTGTGTGGCTGGGTTGAGCTGAGATTTGAAAGGCCAAAGAGACTGCTTGAATTCATATACTCTACAATGTTCTGAGGGTCAGTGGAGAACTTCAGGCTCTGTCGATTTGGGTGTGGAGGTCAGAACAGGCCCTGGCCATGTTCTGAAGCACCTCTGACATTGCCCACCCTGGGCTCCAAGAGGCAGGGGCATCAGACTGGGCCTACTCTTAAGTTTGCCTCCTTGCCTGAGTGGATGTTAGGCCTGCCCCAGCCCGGCCGCTGGCTGAGTGGCTGATCAGAGCCCCACCAGGGTGCACAACCTTGATTTCCCAGCCATCAGAAGCCTGGCTGAGAATGAGAGAATGGGGCCTCACAGAGAACTCAGACCCTGGGAGACTGTTCCAGGCATAAGCCACACCATCAGGGAGCCACATTCCCCCACCCCATCCCTGACTGGATGTTCTGGCCCCTGGGCAAGGGCACATTGGCAGACGCAGTCAGTCAGGCTACGTTGACAGGCCTTACGAGGAATCGCCCTGTGACACTTGTCACGGAAGCCACTGCCGCTGACATGTCCTCTCTGTGAGCTCTCACAGAAGGAATTTCATTGTCATCTCCGAGTTAAGAATGGTTGCGCCGCTCATCCTAAACCACAGGACTGCCGGCCGTCTCTTACTACCAGAAAGCTCAGGGACGGATCAGCCTCACTGAGTTACCTTTGTCAAGTCACTTACCTCCTGGAGCCTCCGTTTCTCAGGCCATTGCCTGCAGGAACATCTGTCCACTCTCATGTGTGTGTATGTGTGTGTGTGTGTGTGTTGGAGGTGCCATCAGCTCAATTTGCAACTCCTAGGGACCCCGTGCAACAGGAGGCTGCCCGCAGGGTCTTCTAGGCTCCAGTGTTTACAGGCCCAGTCACCAGGTCTTTGTTCCATGGAGCTGCTGGGATTCAAACTGGCAACCTTTCACTTAGCAGCCGAGCACTTACGCGCTGTGCCACCAGGGCTGCTTCCTTTCCTCTCTCCTGACCCCCAATTTTTCTTCACTTCTCTCAGTCTTATTTTTCTTGCTTAATTTGGACACACCTCCCTCGTTCTGTTTAAACCGTGGATGACCAGTTTCTTCACCTGTGAGATGGGGTGATGGGGACCAGCTCAGGTCATTGTTGCCAGGGTTGTAAGAACGGAGTGTCCATCACACACGTGATTTTATGAGCCGGACATCAATGTGTTCGGCACTGCGGACCCAGATGTGACGCAGACACCGCCCTGACCTCAGGGAGCCCTACTCTGGTGAAGAGGCAGACGTACAAGTCAGGAAGCGTAGGAAGTGCTGGGGATGAGGGTTGTTCAGGGTGTAACTTGAGTGACAGCCAAACAGCTTTGGGGGGATTCTGGGCAGGCTTCTCAGAGGAGGTGGCATCTCCGTGGGTCTTGAATGGTGAATAAGAGATCAATGAAAGCCAAGTGGGGAGGCCATGCTGGGCAGAAGGAACAGTGCGTGTAACAGGTACACCAAATAAGAGGAGGAGGAACCCAATGGGAACTCAGGAAGAGAGGTGCGAATGAGGGGGTCTTGGGCCTGAGATGGGGAGGTGCAGGGTTACAGCCCCGTCATGGGGCTTCGCAGGTATTTGTTGAAGGAATGGATGAGCGAAGCCAGAGAAGCAGGCAGGCGCCCGTTCAGGAAGGCCCTGGAAATGGCAGGGAGTTTATCAGTGGGGACCCGTCTTTAGCAGGTTAGCCTTTTAGAAGAACCCTCTTGGCTCTCTGGTGGCAGTGGCCAAGGGGCTGAAGGACTGGGGAATGGCTGTGGCTGAGAGCAGAGCCCCCAGGCCAGGCTCTGGCTGACAGCAGCAGCTCACTTTTCCCAGACTGCATTTCTCCCTCTCGACACCCAGCCCAGTGCTGCACTCCCAGGCTCCGTGCCCGGCTCCAGGAGGAGAGCAAGGCCGGGGAGGGCTTTGAGAGCCCAGCCCAGGAGTGTGGACTTTGTTCTGGTGGCAGTGGAGAGCCCTGGTAGGTTCTAGAGCCAAAAAGGCACCTAACAAAAGCTTACAGGAAATCCTCCTAGACTCCCTCAAACCAAAACCAGACTCACTGCCATCGAGTCGATTCAGACTCAGCAACTCATGTTGGGTTTCCGAGGCTATAAATCTATGCAGAAGCAGACTGCCTCATCTTTCTTCCACGGAGCGGCTGGTGGGTTTGAACTATCGACCTTTTGGTTAGCAGCCAAATGCCTTAACCAGTGCACCACCAGAGCATCTTCCTAGACCCCTGACCTCCTCTTCAATGCCAGATTCCCCAGCACCACCTCAGCCAACACTAGGTCTGCAGGGGAGGGTTGAAATCTGGGGGGAGAGTTTGACTGGAAGAGCCCAGACTCTGTGCCCCTCCCTAGAGTGAGGTGGCTCCTCTTACTGGCTGTGTGGCCTTACGTGAGGCCTTAAGCTCTCTGAGCCAGGAAAGCCCTGGAGTGTGAGGCTCAGACGACTTGACACTCTGACTCATTTGGCCGGGCCTCCAGCCGACACTTGTTCTGTACACTTGCTGTCACCGCTGTGGAGGGGAACTGGACGGTGCTGTGTGCACTGTGACCTGCACGTCCCACACAAGCTACCAACATGAGGGCGCGTGGGCAGAAGGGCCAGGGCTGCCCAGCTCAGGTAGGAGGTGGGCACCAAGCACACAGCACTAGCCCAGCCACTGGGGCAAGTCCTGACCCTGGGGCTCGGTGGCTGCCAACTCTGGTTGCCTCTGCCGAGACAGCTGGGCCCCTGGCCGGCTGTGAGGCCCGCATGGTGCCCTCTCTGGGTGGGTGTTTGCGCCCCTCTGCCTGGTCCAGGAGGGACAGACTGAGCCCGCCCTGTCTGCCAGGCCTGGTTTCTGTGGTGCCCTCTGCACCACACCCCACCTTCCCAGAGCAGGTGAGCAGGGAGGAGCTGGCCTTGGGAAGAGGCCAGTGGCGCGGACTCCGCCCATAGACAGACCCTAGAGCCACTGGAGGGGTGGGTGGCGGCCTTGTCTCACCTGTGCCCGTCCCGCCTGCAGGAAACCCCCCTGGGCCGAGCCCGGAGCCCGAGGAGCCGCGGCGGGGCCCAGCGGAGCGCGGCGGGGGTAGCAGCGGCTCCGGGACGCCCAAGCTGATCCAGCGCGCGCTGTTGCGCGGCACCGCCCTGCTCGCCTCGTTGGGCTTGGGGCGCGACCTTCAACCACCAGGGGGCCCGGGCCGCGAGCGCGGGGAGACCCCGCCCACGCCCTCAGCCCCCGCGCTGTCCCCCGCCCAGCCGCCCACCTCCCCGCTCATCCGCTTCTCGCCCAAGACGCCCGGCGCCCCCGCCTCCCCGCGGAGCCCTGACGCCCCCGCGCCGCTGCTGCTGGACCTGGGCGCTCCCGCGGACCAACCCTCTGCCAAGAGCCCGCGGCGCGAGGAGACACGCGGTGAGTGCCAGGACTGGGGTCGCCCGGGTGAGGAGGGCGGCAAGGCCGGGCCACGGCCGTTCTAGACCCCAGAACAACCCCCAAGGGCTCTAATGTCAGTCACGGGCTCAGGCCGGCTGCAAAATCATAGACTGAGAATGAAAATGATGATAAACTCTACCTGGCGGCTGGCCTGCACCAGCCGGTCCCTGGTGCTTTAGGGGAGTGGTCTCCTAACCGCACCCACCCTGTGGACCTGCTGTTAATGGCCGTCAAGTTGCTTCCAGCTCAGGCCGCCCCCTCCAGGCAGCGGGGGGTGGGGGTGGGGGTGGGGGTGGTTCAGGGCTGTGGCCTTTCAGAAACGGGGACCTCGGGGTGGATTCAAACCCCGACCTTTGGGCCAGCAGGGACTCCTCCCCACGGCCTCAATGGCACTGGTGCCGATTTTATAGATGAGGCACCTACAACAGGGCCGAGCTGGGACCCAAGTCCAGGCCCATCTTACCCACTGCTGAGTAAACGGATGCCCCGGGGAGAAGAGAGGGCCGTGGACGTTATGAGGCCAGTACTCATGGCACAATAGGGAAACTGAGGCCCAGAGCAGGGCAGTGCCTCCCAGGGACACCCAGGATAGGTGGCTGGCTGACCATACACCACCCGCCTTTCACAGGATGTACTGTCTCACCTCCGCCCGGAATATCGCGCTCCGCCCCAGGGACCCCAGGCACCCCACGCTCGCCACCCCTGGGCCTCATCAGCCGCCCACGGCCCTCACCTCTTCGCAGCCGCATTGACCCATGGAGCTTCGTGTCAGCCGGACCACGACCGTCACCCCTGCCCTCCCCGCAGCCTGCCCCTCGCCGGGCACCCTGGACCTTGTTCCCGGACTCAGACCCCTTCTGGGACTCCCCACCTGCCAACCCCTTCCGGGGAGGCCCTCAGGACTGCAGGGTGCAGACCAAAGACGTGGGTGCCCAGGCCCCTTGGGCACCAGAGGCCAGGCCCTGAGTGAACCAGGCCCCTCACGTGCGCTCCCGCTGCTCAGAGGGGCCACTGTCTACACTGGAACAGGAGCCGGCAGCTTCCGGAGCTGCCTCCGTTTCCCCCCAGGGATCGCCCCTCTGGGGGTTGGGAACACTACATTGCACAGGAAGCCTTCACACTGGATGGGGGGCCTGCACCCCCCACACCTGCAACCTGTGGGTTCCCTCCGCTTATCTGCCCCATTGGGGCTCGACACTGTACCCAGCTGGTTGGGAGGACCAGAGCCTGCTCAGGGAATTGCCCGGGGGTGGTGCAGGGGAGAGGGCCATCAGATGTTACCAGCACTTTTGACCAAGTCCTGCTACTGTGGCCCCTGCCCCAGGGGTTAGTGCCTGGACCCGCCCAGAGCCCTCAGGGTGCCTTCCTGCTGCCCCTGCCAGGACTGGGGCCTTGGCCTTGGGGTCCAATGAAGCCAAATAAACTCGTAAGCTATCTCCCAAGTGCCGCCTGTCACCTTCTTGGGAGGTAACCAGGGGACTTGACTGACCACATTATTACCCTGGTGTCCTCCTGCCCCCCAAGGAACTGGCAGTTGGCCTGGGCCTCAGTGGGGAGGCTTTGCACCCCTCATCTGAGACCAGGTCCACCAGCCTTAGCCAGGCATTCCAGGTCCTTCAAAGCCTTCCCCATGCCCCCCCCCACTATGGGGTTCACCTATCCTGTCCCCAGCCAGGGCCCTTCATACTCCATACCTGTGCACATGGCCTTGTAGTGCCTGGATCCCCCCACTCCCCTCAGCCCTGTGCTGGGTTCTCTCTGCTGGAGGCCTAGCTCTGTCACCACCCCTCCTGCAGACTTCCCTGGCTGCGCCCCCCAACTCAGGCAGATCCGAACTCAGGATCTGAACCCAGATCCTCAGATCTGAACCCAGCCTGCTGGGTGACATCCCTGGGGTTGGTCTAGACACAGCAGGGGTGAGGCCCTTCCACCTCCCAGCATAACACACCCTGGCACCATGCAACACTGCCATGGGGCTTCTGTAGACTACAACTCCCACATCATGTCCCAGGGCAGGATTCCTGGCCTGGGTTCAGCTTCTCGATGGTTTCTGGGAATTGTAGTCCAGACGACTCCTCCTCTCCTGCAGGGCACTCCCTTCATGGAACTTATGACAATGTGAAATTGTCACAGCTCTATGCTGACAGGTTTCTTTTGTCCCCCACCCCCTCAATGTGTGAGGACAAGGATGGACGGAACCTGTTCTATTTTCTAGTGTCCTCAGGGACTTGCTGAATGAATGAATGAATGAATGGGATATATGTATGCAGAAGTGAGTGTGTCCTTGAATAAACCACAGTGTGATTTTGAGTCAGCTGTTTGACTCTGGTGGCATAGTGTCTAAGGCACTTGACTGCTAACCAGAAGTCTGGCAGTTCAAACCCACCAGCCACTCCTCGGAAGGAAGGTTGGGCGATCTACTTCCGTAGTGGTACCACCTCAGAAACCCAAGGAGGGGTCGCTAGGAGTTGGATTCAACTCGACGGCAGTGAATTTGTTTGTTTTTTTTTTTCTTTTTTTGGTTTGACTCTGTGGGCCTGGCTTCCCCACCCTTACCTCACTACAGCTGCCTTCTACCCCACCCCACCAGTGGAGAAACCCTGGTGGCACAGTAGTTAAGGCGCTTAGCTGCTAACCAAAAGGTTGGCAGTTCGAACCTGACAACTAGTTGCTCTGTGGGAGAAATGTGGCAGTCTGCTTCCCTAAAACTAACGGCCTTGGAAACCCTATGCGGCGGTTCCACCGTATCCACAATGAGTGGGAATCCAGTCGACAGAAGTGCATTTGGGTTTGCTTGGCCCCCAAAACCAGCCGTGATTCACCTGGCAGGCTGAGCAGCCTCCTCCTCCCGTGCACACCTCCGCGCTGCAAACCAGGCTTCCGGCCCTCCTGGGCCACACGCCTCCTCTCAGGCCCAGCCTGCCCAGCTCCTCCCAGACGCCTGCAGTGAAGCAGCAGCTCCCAGAACCCCAGACGCCAGGCAGCACGAAATGGGGGTTCTGAGGCCCTGGGCCCGATATGGGCTCCTGGTTATGGGCCACCTGATGGCCCTGGGGCTTGGGGCCGCTGTGTTCCAGGCCCTGGAGGGGCCTCCAGCACGCCAGCTCCAGGCCAAGCTCAGAGCGGAGCTGGCCACCTTCCAGGCAGACTACGGGGCCTGCCTGCCACCCGGGGAACTGGAGGGGCTACTGCGCTTGACCCTGGCGGCCCAGGCCCATGGGGTCTCCAGCCTGGGCAATGGCTCGGAAGCCGGGAACTGGGACCTGCCCTCAGCCCTGCTCTTCACTGCCGGCATCCTCACCACCACGGGTAGGCAGGAGGGACCCCTAAGACCACTGCCCCTTGGGGTCCCTGGGGGCACAGCCCTTCCCCCAGTTCCCAAGTACCAGACAGAGTGTCAGCTGAGACATCTCAGCTCAGGCTCCTCACACCGACACGCCCCAACTGGTACCTCCACTTTGACTGCCAGGAGGGGTGTGGCCTCCCCAGCTCCACCCCCAGGCGCCCTTTGAGGCCCAGAGATGCCCAGGCCCCCGTAGGCCTGAGGTGAGATAGGGAACACAAAGTAGGATGGATTCTTGGATGGAGGGAGCGAGGGAGAACAGAGGCACCCTGGTGGCACAGTGGTTAAAGTGCTGGGCTGCTAACTCTGTGGGGAAGGGAAAAAGATGTGACAGTCTGCTTCTGTAAAGATTTACAGCCGTGGGAACCCTATGGGGCAGTTCTACTGTGTCCTACAGAGTCGCTATGAGTCAGAATCAACTCCATGGTAGTGAGTTTGTTTTTTGGTTTGGGGAGTTCAGAGCAAGACCATGACCGGGGAGGGGTCTGAGAAGAGGCTTCTGAGGAGACAGTGTCTGAGGAGATGTTAGCCAAGGCAACAAGGCAGAGAGCTAAGGGACAAAGGAACGCCTGGCAGAGGGAACAGCATGTGCAAGGCCCAGAGCCTTGAAGGAAAGGGATCCAGAGTCCTGAAGATTGTCACCTTTCAAAGTATCTAAGTAGTTTTGAAACAGTGTTTCTGGCTTCTTTTGAAAAACCGGGAAATCTGTTCACACTGAGTGAGAAGCCCATTGGCTAGAGCCGAAAAGCATCTGCTCTCTGGGAGAAACACACCCTCTCCAATCTGCCTCAGTCCCCACCACTCCCTCCTGCCACTTCTGGCTCCTGTAGATTTGATGTTGGAACCTCTGGGCTCCTGGGTCTTATTCTCCCAGCATGCCCTGCTCTCTCACCTTTACACATGCGTTTTCAGTCTCCTGCGACTTTCTGCATGCTGCTGCTCTTGCAGCCCCGCACGTCAAGAGTCATGACCAATTCCCTGCTTGCCCCTCGCCCCAAAAGGCAGGGCCTGGGTACACTCCAAGAAGCCCTGGTGGCGCAGTGGTTAAGTGCTAACGAAAGGCCAGCAGTTCAAATCACCAGCCCTTCTGTGGGAGAAAGACGTGGCAGTCTGCTTCTGTAAAGATTACAGCCCTGGAACCCCCATGGGGCAGTTCTATTCTGTCCATAGGGTCACTATGAATCGGAAGCAACTCGACAGCAATGGGTTTGGAGTTTGGGGCACACTCAAATGCTAGCACAAGGCTTGGCCCACAGGGGCGGGAGGGGGAGCCCAATACACCTTTGTAGAATGAACAAGTGGGCGGCAGAGCTGAGGAATCTCTCAGAAAGCCAGGCTCCCACTGGGGACAGGACAGTTCTCCGAATCATTCCAGTTTCAAGAGGTCTGCAGGAACTGTCTTCTTCAATCTCTTCATCTTTCAGAAAAGAACAGAGTGACCCCGAGAGTGCAATGGGTTTGGCCAGTATCTCCCAGTGAATGACAGAACAGACCAGAACGGGGGCCTCGGCAGCTCAGGCAATTCCAGCCACCAGACTATGACCTTCTGTAGGAAGAGATGTTGGGGGGACGTGGGGACACCCTGTGGGCATTCCACTCAAGTGCCCATCCACGTTCTTTCCTCCAGGTTATGGCAACACGGCCCCACTATCGTTGGCTGGCAAAGTCTTCTGTGTGGTCTATGCGACCCTGGGGCTGCCAGCCTCTCTAGCCCTTGTGACTGTGCTACGTCACCACTTGCTGCCAGTGCTCAGCCGCCCGTGGACCTGGGCAGCAGCCCACTGGCAGTTGGCACCAGCCCGGGTTGCACTGCTGCAGGCCACTGGACTGGGCCTGCTGGTAGGTGGCGTCTTCATGCTGCTCCCAGCACTGGTGCTGTGGCAGCTACAGGGCGAGGGCAGCCTGCTGGGGGCAATCTACTTCTGTTTCGACTGGCTCAGCACTGTTGGCTTTGGGGACCTGCTGCCTGGCCACGGCCGAGGCCTGCATCCAGCGATCTACCATCTCGGCCAACTGGCTCTTCTTGGTGAGTCTGGCTGCCCGTGGAGGGGGGTGGTAGAAGCTGGACTACAACTCCCATAAGACATTGGGGCGGGTGTTTTAACCACAGGGGTAGAGTGCTCTTGCTCTAGAGGAGTATGGGAGTTGTAGTTCTCAGACACCCCCACACCCATGACTAAGTCTAAACTCACCCGGTTTAGGAGGTGGGCACAGCTTGTGCCCCAAGCCTGGCCACATGTCCTTTCTAGGTTATATGCTCCTTGGGCTCCTAGCCATGCTGTTGGCCGTGGAGACCTTCGTGGACCTGCCACAGGTCCGTGCCCTCGTGAAGTTCTTCGAGTCCAGTGGCCCTTCGAAGGCTGAGGACCAAGGTGGCATAGTAGGGCAGGATGAACTGGCTCTGAGCACCGTGCCACCCGCCGTCCCCACCCCAGAGCAAGCTCAGGCTTGCTGACAAGTTCAGCTCCTTGAAGGTGAAGAAGCTGCCATGTTAAGCTGTTAAACAGTTGGGCGGAGCTTCTGGGATGGGGGCGTGGCCGCTGTAATGGCCTCTGGGAATACTGTTAACAGAACAATAAAATGGGCAACTCCTACTGTTGTTTCACAGTGGGATTCCCTACGGCTTTCAACAACACAACACCCCTCGCCGTCCATCGTCCTCCCTAGGCCAAGGTCCAGTCTCTTGGTGCGTCTGGGAACCTCAAGCCCCTTATGCAATCGTATACAACCTTATCTGCCTAGGCCCCACCTTCTTCCGTCCATTGAAAGCCCGAGTTGCCCAGAAAAAGAGCCGCGACAGTGTCTCCTCGTCTAACTTTATTGTTCCAAGAAACAGTAAGGGGAGCAGGCAGGGCAGGCCATGACCCAGTTCTCCCCCAGGCCCCCGCGAACACGCGCACACACACTCACACCAACAAATAAATAAGGCCAGACGGCAAGGCCGCCCCGCGCTCCCGCCAATCAGGCCCGAGGTCCGCCCCCAACCGCTCCCGCGAAGCGCGACAGCGGCCCCTAGCGGCCGCGACGCCTCTGGAAGCCCGGTCCCTGGACTGCGGGCCCCGAGCGCCGGGATCCCGAGGAGCAGCGGCCCCAGCGAGCCGGGAAGGACTGGCGACGGTCGGGGCGGTAGCCTGCCAAGCCGCCAGCCTCAGCTGAGCGCGCAGCGCTCGCGCGGGCTCAGCTGCCGGCTCAGCTTGCGGCGTCGCTGCTCCAGCCCGCGCTCCAGGCGCTCGTCCTCCTCCAGGGCTCTGGGAGGGAACACGTGCGAGTCAGCCCCGAGCGCTCATGGGAAGGGAGCCCTGGGACCCTCCCCAGCTCCAAGCGCCGCCCAGGACCCCACTCACATCCGCTCCTTGTGATCCAGGTCCCGGACCAGCTCGTCGCGCTGGTTCACCAGCGACACCAGCTCGTCCAGCAGCAGCTGCTCTCGGTGCTGCTGCGCGGTGGTTTTCAGCCAGTCTGAGGGAGGAGGAGGCTGGGTGTCAGGAGGCCCGACCCCTACCGGGTCCTCGCTCCCCTGCCCTCCGGCCCTCTCCCCTACCTTCGATGGCCAGAATGGCCCGCAGCTCCCGGCTCAGCAGCTCAAACCTCCGCTCCAAGTCCTGCTCCTCGATGCTGAGGGTGGGGACCAGGTGGGTGTCAGTTAGGGAAAAGGGTCGCGGAGGGTATGGCCAGGGCTCTGACCCCCACCTCTCCGGGTTCCTGAGGAGGGCGGAGCTACACTCCCGGCCCCGCCCACCCATCGCTCATTCCACGGGTTCACCAATCGCTGGGTGTTTATGTTCCGTTTTCCCTCCTTGTTTTAAAAAATTAAAAAGAAACAATTCGGCAGGAATATTTGGATGAACGTTACTCATCAACAGCAAGATTAGCCTAAATTATTCTGACAAGTTGTCCAAAATGAGAAAAGGAGGCAAAACCGCTTGGACCATGCAGGACTATAAAACCATGACCTTGGAGGTTCCCCACTGGGGAGACCCCCTCAGAGCTCTCTGGGCCCATTTCCCTTACAGGTAAAGTGTTGTTGGTAAAGCAACACCGCCATGCTAACGAGCCTCAGCCACATTCTGCTCTGGGTCTGTTTTCTCATTAGTAAAAACAGTACCAATTTAAGAGCATATGAGGAGCTCTGGTGGCACAGTGCCTAAGGCATTTGATTGCTAACCAGAAGGTTGGTGGTTCAAGCCCACCAGCTGCTCCGTGGAAGGAAGATGGGGCAATCTATCTCCATAAAGACTTACTGCTTTATAAACCCAGTGGGGGTCTCTATGAGTGGGAATCAACCAGAGGGTAGTGGGTTTTTTTAAGAGATTTTTCCTTTATATAATATATAGAAAAAATCATAGTTATCTCAACTTACGATGTATTCATGTTACCACGAACCACACTTAAAATGACTATCTGGTTTTGGATTTTTTTGTACATCTTCTCATCAGTAATATATATGTATTAAAATACAACTGTAGGCACTCTGGTAGCATAGTGCCTAAAGGCACTTGACTGCTAACCAGAAGGCTGGCAGTTCAAACCCACCAGCCACTCCTCGGAAGGAAGATGGGGCAATCTACTTCCATAGTGATACTGCCTCGGAAACCCAAGGAGGGGTCGCTATGAGTCGGGTCCGACTCGACGGCACATAACAACACCACAACACAAAATATAACTGTAAGTTAATATGTAAGGAGCTCTGGTGGTGTAGTGCCTAAGGCATTTGACTGCTAACTAGAAGGCTGGTGGTTCAAACCGCCCAGCCACTCTACAGATGGAAAGTCAGGTAATCTACTTCTGTAAAGATGTACCATATTGGAAACCCAAAGGGGGTCGTTAGGGTGCTTTGAGTCCAAATTGACTTGATGGCAGTGAGGGTTTTTTTTGGTTTAAGTTGATATCAATATTTCCAAGCTCCAAAGACAAACACACATCGGATTTATAAAGATACTGGTAATAAAAGGCAATAGTAATGAAAACTAAAAAGAAATGAGGTATTGGACTGAGGGCAGAACCGATTTACTACCGAGCCATCAGAGTAGAACCCCGTGGTAAGTCAGGAATGACTTGTAGTAAGATGGCTGAGTAGCTTTTTTTTTTTTAAAAAAAAAAAAAGATCTTTGTATAAAGAAAAAATAGAGACTATTAACTATAGCTATTGTTGTGTGCCCTCGAGTCGGACCCCACTCACAGTGACCCCTCCTTGGGTTTCCAAGGCAGTATCACTACGGTAGTAGATTGCCCTATCTTCCTTCCGATGAGTGACTGGCGGGTTTGAACCGCTAGCCTTCTGGTTAGCAGTTAAGTGCCTTAGCCACTATGCTACCAGAACTCCCATAGTAGCCTTGGCTCCACAGGCACTCAGCCGGCAGGGGCTGTCTGGGGCCAGGCAGAGGCGGGGCCAGGCAGAGGCGGGGCCGGGGGCGGGGCGGGGCCGGGCCGGGCCGGGCGGGGCGGGGCCGGCACTCACAGGAGCTGCAGCTGGTCCTGCCGCCTGATGAGCGCGTTCTTCTTGTTGACCAGTGTGAACCACTCCTGGATCAGCATCTCCTCCTGCAGCCTGTTGGCACCTGAACAGGGCCGGGGTGGTCACCAGGCGTGCCACCTGGGCCCTGGTGGTAGGAGCAGGGCAAGGCAGCTGGGGCTTTGGGGGAGGAGAATTGCCCCTTTGTGGCCACCCAGAAGCCAGAGCTGAAGCGGTGTGCCTCCAGCAAGCAGGCTCCCTGCTCCCGACCTGGGTGCCGACTGTAAAATGGGGATGATGACCCAGCTGTGCTTCTCCTACCCCCTCCCAGGGTCAGGAAGAGCTACAGGGCAGGGATGAGGGCTGGTGGTGGGTACCCAGCCTGCCTCACCTGACTCCATGAGGCTCCTCAACTGCGTCTCCACCTCGGCCGCCCGTCCGTCTATCTGTCTCTGCTCACGTTCCAGGGCCTGCAGCTCTGCGCACACGTATTGACTTGTGTCCTGGAACCGCTGCTGGGGTGGGATGGGGGCGGGGAGAGGGTGGGCTCAGCCCAGACTCTGCTAAGAAGTGCTCACATGTCCGCTCCACCCTCCTCAGCCCTCCTTACCAGCCCAGCCTCCTCCCCTGGGCTTGGAGGCTGCTCCTCTGATGGGGGGCTCCCACCTGCAAACAGAGACCAGGCTAAAGCACCCCCAGCTGATACCTACCCCCAGGAAGTCTCCAGCCCCGGATCTGTGAGCAGCCTGAGCTGAACTGGGTCCCCAACCCTCCAGTGCTACTCACCAACAATGGGCGTCTGTGGGGCTGCAGCTGGGGCTGGGCCAGGGGCTGGGCTGGGGTCATGGCTCAAGCCTTCCTGTGAAGGAGGGTGTGGGTAAGGCTTGAAGGGGCTCCAGACAGCCCTGCTTGGGGCCAGCCATGGCCTCACACACGCACAGGGAGGAGGGTCTGTGAGCCCATTCCCACTGCCCTAGCTGCTTTCGTAGCCCCGGGTGAAGTGCCTCTTGGAGCAAAGGCCCCGCCCTCTCGGGCCCTGTGGCCCTGGGCCAGCTCACTCCCACACTCCTAGGTCTCCTTCCTGGTGATGGGCTGATGGCCACCGCCCACCCCCACTTCACTTGTGAGAATCAGGGTGAAAGGCTGTGAAGGGGGAAGGGCCCCTCCTCCCTGGAGCTCCCTCAGGCCACCTCCCTCCTACTTCTGTCACCCCGTGCTGGCTTGACCAGGACATGAAGTAGACCTCATGCCATCTGGTCTCCAGACTCAGGCTATTCTGAGCCAGCACCTCCACCTCCTGGCTGCAAGGGGCCACCCCCTGCTCTATCACCTCCCACACCTGGTGACTGCTGTCCTCCTCACACAACACTCAGGACTGGGCCTGTGGTTGCATGGACCTGAGAATTTTAGCCTGGAGGAGCTGGAAGGGCCCCAGATGTGCCCCACCCTTGGTGACTTGCAGGGGCCCCATCAGCCCTGGGGAGCCTCAACTTGTGGTCCGGCTGCAGCCTGACTCTCCTTGATGGCTCTTGCTTTGGCCACCCTTCTGGCAGGTCAGAGGATGGGGAGACGGGGTGGAACTACTCCAGTGTCCCCCCTACCCTGCACCTCTCTGAAAAGCAGCCCTGGACATCCACAGCCCAGAGGCCATCTTCTCTCACCTGGGACAGTGACTGCCTCCCCACCAGTCACCACTGCCTGCTGACCCCACCCTCATACCACCACTGAGAGGTCTCCCTAAATCTACACCCACATTTCCCACACCTCTCCTCAGAACCCAGCCCAGTTGTCAAGGCCTGTTGGCTGCTCCAGCCTAACTGTCCTCTTCCTTCAAACCCCACTCGGTCACAGTGATGGACTTTCGGTTCCCTAAAGAGTTTCCTTAGTCTGGAGTTGGCTGCCATCTTGGATTGCCCAACATCAGCTTGACCTTCATGACCCAGCTCAGCGCCGCCTCCTCCAGGGGCCCCTTTGGGCTCTCATTCCTCTCTCTGCCTCTCTCCCTCACCTTTATGCCTCCTAAAGCCTCCCTTGGGCCCCAGGCTGGGCAGATGCTCCCTCCATGGCCTCCTGGGGCCCCCAATCCCAGCTCCAACCCCCTCAACACATGGTTCTTAATTCACGAGTCTCCCAAACTAGAGGTAGCCCCTTCAGACAGGGCTGGACCCAACGTATGTACTCAGCTAATGTTTAAGAGTCCTGTTGGCATGGAAGTTAAGCACTCAGCTGCCAAATGTAAGGTCAGCAGTTTGAACCCACCAACCATTCCATGGGAGAAAGAGGTGTCAGTCTACAAAGATTTACAGCTTTGAAAATCCTATAGGGTAGTTCTACTCTGTACTGTAAGGTAGATATGAGGTGGAATACCCTTATTAACTAAAAAAAAAACAAGCAAAATAAGCCAACTCACTGCTATCAAGTTGATTATGACTCATGGTGACCCCACCGGGTTTCCAAGGCTGGGAATCTTTACAGAGCAGATTGCCCCATCTTTCTTCTGTGGAGTGGCTGGTGGGTTTAAACCATTGACCTTTTGGTTAGCAGCCAAATGCCTTAACCACTACACCACCAGAGCTCCTAAAACTTGTTGACAGCACCCCACAATAACATCAAGCATTTACATGTCAGGCACTCTTCAAAGCACTTTACACTTTAGTTTAGTCTTTAGTTCTCATAACAAGCCATGAGGCAGGGGCCACTACCATCCCCACTTTACAGATGAGGAAACTGAGGGTTGGAGAGGGAAACTGGAGGGGGCTCAGAGGTGAGGCTCATGCTGGGCCTGGTCAGGGCCTGAGGTTGTCTAACCCAAAGGTCCGTCCCCAGGCTTGGCCACCAACTTGCAGTGGGCCTCTGGCTCAGCCACTGAGCCTCTGCGTCTTCACATGTAAAATGGGGAGAAATCCCAGAACTGTGTAACCTAGTGTTTGCAGGGCCCCCTAAAGGCATTTAGGGGAACACACAGCTCCCCTTTCTTTGACAGCACTCTGCAGCGGCCTCAATGCCACTTGGCAAAGGGCTTCCCTACAGTCCCTTGTCATGCTCAGAGAAAAGCACAGAAAGGTTAAGTGGCTTGCCTGGAGTCACACAGCAAAATGGTGCTGGGCCCAGTAGAGGGTGGCGTTTAAGAGCTCAGGATTGAACCAGGTTCACATTTGCAGCCACTCCCTTTACTGGTCTCTCCCTCTCCCTGACCCTCAAGGTTCCCGCCTGTAAACTGAGGCAGTCATTCTTCCCTGGAAGGAGCATTGTAAGGAGGCAGGGAGAGGTCTATGGGTCAGCCCAGGCACCCAGACAGCACTTCAAGCAGAGCGTGGCTGCTGTGGGCAGGGAGGCAAGGGAGTGGCGAAATCCCCACCTCAGCAGCAAAGAGCCTTACACCCGCCCTGATGGGAATTCCAGTAATGCTTCCGCCTGTCTGACCCCAGTTCTTCTTTCCCTACCCTCCTGTGTGGCCCCTCCTCTAGGAAGCCTTCCTGGGCCATACCAGAGGCACCCTGCCCTTCTCTAGGCATTGATCCAGCCCCACCCCAGCTTTTGCGTATCTGACCTCATCCCCTTCCAGGATTTGGGGAGCTCCTGAGGGTGGGGCCAGGCCCCACCACCTCCCACTGTTTGCATGGGGCATGAAGGATGGGGTGGCCAAGGAGGAGGAGCCTCTTCCAGTCTCACAGGGCAAATAACTCCTGTAGGGCAAGGGCCAGAGGAGGGCTGGCTTGGAAGGGCCAGATGCTGGGCCTTGGGCCCAATAGGGTAGAAGATGGAGCCGCCCCTTTAAGATTTAAAGAGCCACTGACACACTTTAACGGAGCTATGACCAGAGACCAAGAGGCAGCAAAAGTGCCTGTGTCCCGCTGACCCCTGCCTATCACATCTGCTGTGGTACATCCCACGCCCTCCCTCTCATTCACAGAATCAACCTTGAGCCTCTGATCCTGGCACTCAAGGCTCCTGCTCGCCCACCTGCCCCACTGTCCTCACAGGAGACCTGGGCTTGTCTGGTCCGTCCACCTGAGAACAGCTGCCTCCCATTTCTCACCTGGGGAAACCCACCCACTTTATCAGCTTCATGGAAATGCTGCTTCTTTCAGGGAACCTTTCCCAACTCATCCCTTCTTCCCTTCGATCTCAGAGCCATCCCCGGGCAGCTGAAGCCTCAGAGAGGCCTGGCAGAGCTGCCCCCACAGCAGTAGGCAAAATGGCACAGTGGGTGGAGGCCCAGCTCAAAAGTATGTGGCCTGGGCTGCAGTGGATGTAAGCCCTTAAGCAAATCCCGACCTCACTGGGACCACCTCCCTCAGTCCAGGGATGACTCAGCCCGGGGAGACCCTGCCCTAAGACCTGCAAGGGACGGGGGACATGGGCCCTAGCAGGGACTCCAACCTCCCACCTGCCATTATCAGAAGAGAAAAAACTGGTGTCTAGCATTTGGGGTAAAGATCCAACTGGCAGCACCTTAGGGCTCAGAAGTCCTACATAGCCTCTCTTGAGGAGACAAACTGCTCAGCTAGTGGGGTGGGGCTCCCAACCAAACTAAACCAAACTCACTGCCATTGAGTCCACTCATAGTGACCCCTCCTTGGGTTTCCCCGGCAGTATCTCTACAGAGGCAGATTGCCCAATCTTCCCTCTGAGGAGTGTCTGGTGGATTTGAACCGCCAGCCTTCTGGTTAGCAGACAAATGCCTTAGGCACTATGCAACCAAGGCTCCCATAATACACTACTTTTGTTGGGCACAGGCCCCCAGCAGGAAAACAACGCCCAAACCCAGTCTAAAATCCTGAATGCTCGCAACACCACAGCCTTCTGGGAACTTCCCGCTACAGCCCAGGTTCCGGTAGGTGAGTACCAAGCGTTAAAATGCATCAGCATGTGTTCCAAGGCTGGCAGCGGAGCTGGGACCCAGCAGCAGCTTCCGGGAGCCTGCAGGCATCGTGGGCACGTGCACCATGGCTCCGCCCACCAGTAAGCACCGCCCCGCGTGCGGCTGAGCCGGGTCTCCTGGGAGCCACCACGTGGCGCCAGCTCTGCCTTCAGCGCCTCACGGCCCGGCGACAATCCCTGGCACCGACCCGGGAGACTCACCGCGGCCCCAGCATCAGGCTCGTCCACCGAGAAGGAGTTGCTGTTCCGCAGCCGCGAGCGCCTCTTCTTCAGCAGGTCAGCGTCGCGCACGTGGGAGAAGGAGCCATGCGCGCGCGGCGGCGGCACAGGCCCGGGCT